TCACAGATCACTCCTGACACTTTTCTCCAGCTGTTCCATCCTGCCCTCTTTATACGGCACTCAAGATAAGACAATAAGAAAAACGTAAATTGTGTAGACACACATTTGAAAGCTGCAAACTGGGGGAAAAAAAACAGAAGACATAAATTGTCAATATGTGGAAATATTTTCAACATTCAACATTCCACTGTGGAATTCCTGGCTGGTAAAAAAGATGGAATAGGATTCGAAGTAAAATGACATCATGGTATGTGATTTAATCTGCTTACACTGTCCTTGCATGAACTTGTGGACGTAGCCGTCCCACGGCCCGGGCTCAGGCTGAGTCTTGTTCATGCGATCAAAGTGGTAGTAGCTCACCATGTTGTCTTTGGCATTGCGTGCCACATAAATGGCCTTAACATAAGAAAAGAACAGAGGTGCGGAGAGGGATCAGGGACAACAATAAAAGAATAGAAGAGATCGTATGACCTGAAAGCATTTCGGTTTTGAACTGTGCTTTGTGTTTTGTAAAGCTCACTGTAGGAGGTTAAACCTTACTTTGCATTTGTTTTCCCAGAATCCTTGAGGCACCAACTGGAAAGGAAGATGTGTCTTGATGATTCTTGGTGGATCCATTTTCTTCAGAAGATCAAGACCTGGGGGGGGAAAAAAGGTATACAGGAAAACAAACAATTGTCACTGATTGGTTGATCTAACTTAGTAAATAAAACATCCCTGAAATAACCACTGCAGATGTTGTAAAACGCTCCAAGATTATGAGTCATCACCATTTGAACATATCAAGTACTGAGTTGTGTATATTTTGTATTATAGGAACATCCCACGGTGCATCACCAAAACAAAAAATATCCCAAAAAAAAAGTCATGAAATCACTGCAATGATCTAGTTTCAATTTACTCACAGTTTACTTGCTCAGTGGGAAACCTAGGCCTGTTTAGTTGAACCACAACTCTGAATTACTGGCAGGAATTGATGAAAAAGACATATTCAAAAAAGAGCAAATACAAACCAAAAATGGCTGAAACTCACAGTTGTAGAGCAAAGAGCAGTCATTTAATCATTTGTTGGTGAATAAAATAAAATGCATTTGTTATCACGGCTTATACGAAAACAACGTAAACAAACCAAATGAAGCACTATTTACTCTCTATTGTATTTATCGATACTTGTGTTCTCCTGGGGCTGAATAACTTTAAACTTTACAAGTGACAGGCGACACTCTCTCCTGGTGGACACATGTCTTTAAAAACTGGTGGGATTTTCCCCCGAGCTCCCCGTCCCTGTGGCTCTAAGGAAGATTATACGATTGAATATGGATGAATTGACAAAAACACTCCCAGTACAACGACAATTAGGCCGATCTATTCTATTCTATTCTATTCTATTTTAACTACTCGGTACAAATGAAAACTAGATCTGTCCACATTGTGTTACAGCTGCTACAGTTATTTACTGGATGTCGCAACAGGAACCACCCTGCTGAGTTCCAGGAGCTCGCAGGATCCTGAGTTCAAGACAAAGACAGCTGCCCTTTGTCTGGAACGCAGAAAAAAAAAATTAACAATTGTTGTAACCATTTTTTTTGGTATTTCAGTTTTCAGGGTTTTTTTTTTCATCATACTTCAACTGTCAATGTGTGAGTGTGTTGCTGTGATGTTGTTAAACTACAATGTTACACAATCGTGGAAATCCTCCGCAGCGGTGTTTGCTTCGATTGTTGATTCTACTCAATGCATCTGGCAGTCTCTAAGCCTGTTTGGTAAAAGCACAGATTAGTGTAATCTAATTATAAAAACCTTTTTGTTAAAAGCACAGATTAGTGTAATCTGTGCTTTTACCAAACAGGTTTAGACAATTGGATTAGTCTAATCTGAGCTTTTACCAAACAGGTTTAGACAATTAGATTAGTCTAATCTGTGCTTTTACCAAACAGGTTTAGACAATTAGATTAGTGTAATCTAATTATAAAAACCTTTTTGTTAAAAGCACAGATTAGTGTAATCTAATTATAAAAACCTTTTTGTTAAAAGCACAGATTAGACTAATCCAATTGTCTAAACCTGTTTGGTAAAAGCACAGATTAGACTAATCCAATTGTCTAAACCTGTTTGGTAAAAGCACAGATTAGTGTAATCTAATTATAAAAACCTTTTTGTTAAAAGCACAGATTAGTGTAATCTAATTATAAAAACCTTTTTGTTAAAAGCACAGATTAGTGTAATCTGTGCTTTTACCAAACAGGTTTAGACAATTAGATTAGTGTAATCTAATTATAAAAACCTTTTTGTTAAAAGCACAGATTAGTGTAATCTGTGCTTTTACCAAACAGGTTTAGACAATTAGATTAGTGTAATCTGTGCTTTTACCAAACAGGTTTAGACAATTGGATTAGTCTAATCTGAGCTTTTACCAAACAGGTTTAGACAATTAGATTAGTGTAATCTGTGCTTTTAACAAAAAGGTTTTTATAATTAGATTACACTAATCTAATTGTCTAAACCTGTTTGGTAAAAGCGCAAATTAGACTAATTTAATTGTCTAAACTAATTGTCTTCCAGTTGAGGGGAATGGAACCCGAGGGAAGGACTGCCAAGAGAATCGAATGGTAAAAATGATGTTGAAAAGGACAGGGTAAATGGAGGAGTTATGTAAGTATCAGTACAAGTTCTTAACCCTCAGGCCTTGATACTGAAGCTGTAATACTACTGTCGGTATATTTGCACTTTATTTATTGCTTGTTCATATTAATATCATGTATATAGACTTCAGGATTAATAACTTAAAACTGAATCACCTGATGCATTTTGTCACCTGTGGGCCTTGACATGACAGGAAGCAGGCAGGACCCAAATGCAGGACTGGTGCAGGTAGTTTATTTGAACATTCTAAAATTCCAAAAACCAGGCCTGAAGCATAGGCAAAGTCAACCAGAGCTGAGAACAGGAACAGACTTGCTAAGGAACCGACTAGAAACAGCGACAACAAAAAAACTCAACACAACGCTGGCACAAACAATACAGCGCTCACAAAGACAGTCACTAAAACCTACTCACTGATCCAACTACACTGGTCCAACCAGGGCAGAGTGAGGGAGAGAGGTATATATATACACAGGGAGCACCAGGTGACACAAGTGAAGCTAATTACAGACAGATGAGTGTGATCACGCAGATTACCCCACACAGCAGGAAAAAGAAACAGACAGACATGACACACTTGAAAGACTGGAGGCATGGGAAAAACATATTAAATATGATATATTTATTTTGCATATATATGTGTATTTTTGTATATCTACTTTTCTATGAACCTCAATATTTGCCTTTTTTTTCTGCCATTTCTAGTTTGATAATAAGTGACAAAACATGTGACTCGTGTGACATTGTTTTGGTATCGAAAAATATACCATCAAACAAGAATAAAAATGCTGTGGCTAGCCTGTCCGCTCAGGTTGCTGTAGAAATGCCAATAGAATCCTGCCTAAAAAAAAAAGTATAAAAGTAGTAAAAAAAGTATAGAACATTATCGTTGTGACAAGAACCACCATCTTGAAACTTTTGCACGAAAGGACACACAGTAGCGAAATGTCTCACCTGAGGGGATGGGTGGTGGCGAGTGGATCTCCAGAAAAGGACTGCGAACAGGTGTGGGAGCTCTCCTGCAGGCCTCAGCATCTCCGTTGTTGATAAGAAGGTCGATTATTTCCTGGGTCCATGTGGTGCCTTATGTCCGAGACAACAAACAAAACAAACCATAAGACGTAGGAATATCTAGATAGGTTCGATTTTACTGACCTAAAAATCAAACCTAAATGACCTGTTTGACAGATTGCAAATTGCAAATATTTGAATGTATATTTCAATATTTATTTTAGAGATATAGAGCAGCACTAGTGCACGTACCTGCTTTGGGGTAGGTGGCGATGAGGAGGTCAGAAGGGTCCGGATTAAAAGCCCAGATGGAGTCAAAGTTGTTGGCAATAATGCTCATCAGGGGGACACCTCTGATTGGGATGAGAGGAAAGCGAGTGAGTGAGTTGCCAGCTTTCTCTATTGCCTCCTTGTAGGTCATTTCCTTTTCGCCCGACATCCTCAAAAGGTCCAACTGGTGGAAGATGACAACAGTGAAATCCGATCTGCAGAATGACTTAAGCGAAGGCAGATGTGTTGCTTCTCCTTGGAGCTCCTATTTTGGCTGCCTGTGGCTCCTTTGTCATTTACTACTCCCGAGCTTCTACAACTTCCAAGTGTTTAAACTTCTTCCTGTCTGTCAAAGCTCTGGTCTGTTATTCTGTCCTCCCCCGGTGCCCTTGTGTCTGCTCTGTTTCCCTCTGCGGGTCCTTTTGTGTGTCTGACTCAAGTCACACAACTACCAACTCCTCCCATCAACGTACTCCAATCCTTCTCATTTTCCCCCGCCTCCCTCTGAATTCTAGCGCCCGACCGTGTGTGTATCCACGTCCTATCTGTACAATCACATAACTTGTGGCGTGTCATTACGTAACACTTCCTGTAATATGTCATTCCATGCTATTTCAGTGAGGAGCTACAGTCTGGATTTACACCACACGATAGTTGCTGTTTGTTTTGACTTTTTCTTAACTACCAGTATCAGAATGACTCCAGAATCAGATAAAACTAGACAAAAATGTGCAAAAGCCACAGGTCAAACAGTAACATGTGCAGGCACTCTCAAGCTGGAAACCAGCACTGGGCACAGTTCATGACCCCAGTAAGTAAACATTTAGCGTTAAGGTCCAAAGGAAGGCTTAATATGTTACCTATGCCTAGGCTTATTTAAAAATCAACCAAAAACCAATCTGAGATATGAAAGATAAGAATAAGAAACTCGCTATAAAACCATACCATACAATGGTAATAAGTACAGCCAACAATCTGCGATGTTTTGGACATGTTTTGGATTTTATTCTAAGAAATAACAGATGTATTAAAGGTGACTTTTTTTTGTTAAAGTTGGATATTTTGAGCTGTTGTGTTTTTGTGTCCTCATTTCTGTTCTTCTAATCTTTGTTGCTTGCGTGTGGTGCAGCCTCGGTTGCACACTTGTCAGCGCTCTCTCTCGGCTTATGGACTTCTTGTGTCTAAGCAATTCATATTTACTGTAAACAAATTAAAGCATAGAGATGAGTGCAGCACAAACTTAATTTTGACCTTTAGTAAAAAAAATTGTATTTTTTTTATTTTTCAAACTTTAAATTCTGCCGCTTTCAAAGGTTGTTCATCAAAATGATAAGAAAAAATATTTTTAGGCCAAAAATGTAGTTATCAAACACTTTTGATACATTTACATTTTTTCTACTTACTCCCATCTTCACGGCTCGCTGCTGCCTCACCGGGGGACAATGTATTAACGTGAAAAGTGTGCACTAAATGTGTGTCGAAAGAACAATCAATTTAGACGGTTGAAAAACGTGTGCCCCTGTATTACGTTCTTTACGGTATCTCCCCTTTGAAACGGAAGTATCTCTGACAACTTCCTTAGAAACGACTCGCTTGTATTTACAACGCTTTATGGCGGTCACAATTTTTCCTGTAGCCTAGCCTCGGCTTATGTTACTTACAAACGTATTAAACGTGTGCGTCAGTCGGGAGAAATTGTTGGGCCTTGTGCATTTCAGCTCTTTTTGTCACGTTGTTTTAAATGTAACACACTGATTGCATTGATGAGCTCACATATGCCTAATTGTTTTTTTCCCCCTCTTCTCTATTCAGGAGGCGTAGAAATAAAATAGAGATGTAGAAGAAGTCCGTAAAGGTCGAGGAGAGAGAGAGAGAGAGAGGAAGATCACAGCCCAAGAGGGGAGCCGTTGTGAGCCAACCAATAAAAGAGAGAAGAAACACAGGAAAACATTTAAAAAAAACTATAAAACTTGTCAAAAATCATCTATATTAAAGTAGCCACTATATATATATATATAAGGAGAGTTAATTGAAGAAGGGAAGTATCCGTACTGATGAAAGTATAAAGATATTTTAGATTTTATTCTAAGAAATAACATATGTATTAAAGGTGACTTTTTTTTTCTTTTTTTTTTTTGTTAAAGTTGGATATTTTGAGCTGTTGTGTTTTTGTGTCCTCATTTCTGTTCTTCTAATCTTTGTTGCTTGCGTGTGGTGCAGCCTCGGTTGCACACTTGTCAGCGCTCTCTCTCGGCTTATGGACTTCTTGTGTCTAAGCAATTCATATTTACTGTAAACAAATTAAAGCATAGAGATGAGTGCAGCACAAACTTAATTTTGACCTTTAGTAAAAAAAATTGTATTTTTTTTATTTTTCAAACTTTAAATTCTGCCGCTTTCAAAGGTTGTTCATCAAAATGATAAGAAAAAATATTTTTAGGCCAAAAATGTAGTTATCAAACACTTTTGATACATTTACATTTTTTCTACTTACTCCCATCTTCACGGCTCGCTGCTGCCTCACCGGGGGACAATGTATTAACGTGAAAAGTGTGCACTAAATGTGTGTCGAAAGAACAATCAATTTAGACGGTTGAAAAACGTGTGCCCCTGTATTACGTTCTTTACGGTATCTCCCCTTTGAAACGGAAGTATCTCTGACAACTTCCTTAGAAACGACTCGCTTGTATTTACAACGCTTTATGGCGGTCACAATTTTTCCTGTAGCCTAGCCTCGGCTTATGTTACTTACAAACGTATTAAACGTGTGCGTCAGTCGGGAGAAATTGTCCCAGCTAACTTTGGCTAATATGCTATATCGCTAACTGAGAACCTCAGCCTTCCTCAATGTAATGAGATGAACTCCCTTCGACGGTTTCTTTTACTTGTCTTTATAACCATCGCCCTGTGTGCACTTTTGATAAGCGCAGCCACAGAGTTCGGGATATCGTCTACCACCACAGATACTCCAGCAAATGTGGAGGCCATAAACTCCACGACCCCTGCTCCGGGTGGCACAGAAGCAGGGGTCTCCACCAGCATCGGTAGCACAAGCGAATCGGCGGCTCCCACTGAGTCCCCGGAAGTCGCCACTTTCACGATGCAGCCGCAGCTTGTGCAGCCCCAACGGGGTGAGTTAGACTTTGGGGTATGATAACCACAGAGGGTACAGTCGGTTTTATTTATAAGTAATCTGTGAAAAATGATAAAATGCAACATACGGTTGTAGAAGCTACATTAAGTATTATCATTAGTATAATTTGTATTAAGATAATGTAATAACCTGGCCCTTATGCTGTAACAACTGAAAATGTTCTGGAATTTTCCTGGTTAATTGGTTACGAGTTATCTGGTTACTTTTAAGAAAAGAGTCGGGAACTGTGGGTCTTTTGTCTTGTCAGTAAATTACAGAAATGCCTCTTTGAAACTCCACCGCTGATATCTATATCTTTTTTCCTCGTCATTGTTTATGGTTTACAGACTGCCTGTGTGACTTGACCCCTGACTTCTGTGACATTGGCTGTTGCTGCGACACAGTAGACTGTGGTGTCACAAACTTGAGTACCGTCTTCACTGGATGTCAACAGAAAGCTAGGTAAGTCAGCTGCCCTTACATTACAGTAGGTGAAGTAAACCGAACTTGAACTGTTAACGGTATAAAAAAAAAAAACTTTTTTATTTTACAGACCAGAAGTATGCATCGAAAAATGGCTAATTTTTAGGGGAAATGTGGAATCCTCTCTTCTCAGTGTGACCGACTCCTTGTTCTGTGTCCAAACACAGGGTGAGTGTATGAAATAATTTATAAAAGCACCTCCCCTCCCACAAATTAAAATACTATTGAGAACCAGATAACATGTATATTTCTATCTGTACAAACCACTGTATGAGTTGCTGCCACCTAGTGACTGGAGTGACAGCAGTGGTACACACAGCATGCCGTCAAGCATTACAGCAGTGGTACACACAGCATGCCTTATACTGATTTAAACCAAGCATAATGAATTTAAAAAAAAACATCTTCATATCTTGTGTATCACACAACACTGAGACTAGGAAAAAAAACACAACTGTATCCTTGCTATAATATTGCAACATTAAACACATTTTCCCCTGCAACACCTCCTCCTTCCCACAGATAAAGCAGCCCCGTCTGTCCAGGATGGCCTTGCTCCTTCTGCATCCTTGGGTGATTCATACCATTTCTCACCACCGACACCTCCAAGCATCAGCCACACCAGACCATTTTACAGGGTACCACACTGTTTCTGCTCACTGCTCGTACTGGGGTCAATGCTCGCTTTGGAAAAACTTTCATATCTGGAATCGTTTGAATGCTGAAAACGTTGTGATTGGTCTATTGGAATAGGTAGTAGGCCGGTTAAATAGAAGTGACTTTACTGTCATGTTCGGCAAACCAATCTGAGCAAAAAAAACAAAAAATCTAAAATTTTCTTTTTTCTTCTTTTTCTTCTTTCAGAAATCTGTTTTTTTTTTTTACTTTTTACTTTTATTTTAATTTGACAGCCAGATTGTTCTTCTGACTTCTGTGTCTAAAATAGCAATGGCTGATTCTATTAACCTGGTGACAAACAGGAATTTTTAGGACTCAAAAATCAAACGACAAATTTAAGCACACACATAATAACACACAACTTGTATTGTTTATTTTGTGTAGAAAAAAATTCCAATATGCAGACAGTTTGTATGTATACTGCTGGCTAGCTCTGCTGTTTTAAAGGAGGTAGCGTGGCCGAGCGGTCTAAGGCGCTGGATTAAGGCTCCAGTCTCTTCGGGGGCGTGGGTTCGAATCCCACCGCTGCCAGTAGTCTTTTGAGCAATGGTGGACTCAGTTGCCAAGTTACCACTGAGGTTCTCTGAGCATGGCACCGTCCCCACACACTGCTTTTTCACATTTAGTGGTGTGCTGTGTCACAAGTAGTTCCCATTTAACATATTAGTCATATTAACATTTGTAACTCAATGCAGCGGCGGCCTTTGTGCTGAATTAAAATGCTTTTATTTTAGGTTGATGATGTCATCCAGACCTTCATGGTCTCCTCACGTGTGCGCGGTCTCCTTCGTCAGCCAGCTCCAGGTGCTGCGGCTTCGTTCTGTATGGATCGAAACCCTGCAAGTAAGTTCCGAGTGATCAGTGCTTAACCAATTAGCACCTATTCCCCAACGCTTTTGTTGGTTGAAAACACACGTCATATTAATGATATGTCAAGATTTATCGTGTTTAAAAACATCGAGTCTTAGCAGCATATCTTATCCTGATTCTGATTCTCCACTTCATGGTGTACCTAAACATTTATATTTGCAACGGCCTAATGTTCCACCCAATGTTTTGGCTCCCCCTGTTGTCCCGAAATGGTAAAGCGCATATATTCTGCCCTCTCTGGAGTCAGTATTGTAAGCGGAGAATGTGTTGGATGACTCACCGATAGGGAGGTAGCGTGGCCGAGCGGTCTAAGGCGCTGGATTAAGGCTCCAGTCTCTTCGGGGGCGTGGGTTCGAATCCCACCGCTGCCAAAATGCTTTTTCATTAATTTCCCCTTAAAGAGAACTCCCAAGATATTAATCAAGTTCTATCTATCTAATATTACAACCATAAATATTTCTCTCACCAAACTGCCCTGTATTGTCTTTGTAGGGTTCTTGAGGTCTTTGTCTCAATCCTGCAGCAGGATTATGACTCCCCAGGCCTGTACCACAGACCCAGCTTTCAGTGCCAGCACCTACTTCTCTGACTTGTATCTGCTCAAGGTTGGCACACACACACACTTACTCTCTTTCTCACTCTCTTTCTCTCAACAACTATAACAAAAATTGCCAAGAATAAAAGGCTACAGTACTAAAAAAAAGTGTTTTCTTACAGATTCCAATTGATGGGTCAAAACAAGTGTCCGACTCTCTGGTAAGTCATAAATGTAACGCTTTACATGTGCCACTGCACCGAGTGGAGAAAGTGGATTTTACTGTAGTAAATAAATGTATTCATCAATGGTAAATAAAGACGTAATCTGAAACAATTACAAACTACTGAGTGTAATAGATTTTGTTTTTTTAAATTAGGCCTTGACATCGTTGTCTGTATTTACATAGGTTGTCATATTGTATTGCTGATTTCATTTGTGTGTCTCAATCTTTTTCCATTGTTGTTGTTTTCCATGTTGACAACGTTGTGCTGCCTCTGGTTTCAGATCCCAGTTACACCACTGTCAGAGTGGCCTGAACCAGTTCAACAAAACAACTCCTGCGTTAACGCCGTAAAAAGTGTGAGTTTCAGCTCAAATGTTGTGACGCACATGCACTATTCCATTGTTAACGTCATAGTTTCATGCACCCTTTTTTTTTTAAAAAAAAAATCCCTCAACATTTGTTTTTTTGCATAGTGGGTAAGTGTAATTGTCTTTTAAATAAAAGTTTGTCCTTGATCCGCATCACGTAAATGGCCGTAACCATCGGAGCGTCAAGTTTCCGATGGTACCTGAACGCACCTCGTATGACAGAAATGGTCAAGTTTCCGATGGGACCTGAACGCACCTCGTATGACAGAAGTTATCATTCAGTGGGAATATGCAGTGCCAAAAACATGTCCATTAATATATTTTTTTATATCTTTAATACGTATGTTTTATGCTGCAGGTAGAGTTTATCATTGGGTACACGGGCAGGGGAGAACTCACATTTGCAAATGTGAACGTCGCATTAGCTGATGTGGATTCCACAGGCCTGCTGCTGCAGACACACTCTGTGAAATTTCAGGTATCCAAATCGCTACAGACGCTCTACGTGAGGGAAATATTTTAAACACGCTCTGACCTCAAAATATATTTCCCTTGTGCAGATGGACACATCAAGGTCCACTCCAGAACCGGACCTTGCATTCGGACTGAGGGTGGGATCTCCGATTATTGGCCGCATTGGAGGAAAAGTGGAAGCTGTATCCTTACTGTTTTAACATAACAGTGGAACAGACAGTTCCACTAGATGGCAGCAGAGCAGCTCATTTTATTAATCTATTTTGATAATCAGGGGATTGTGCACAGATAAACAAATATTACCAAGCACTCAAAGAAATATCACTAATTTCCATGTCTTGTTCATATATCACTTTAATGCTTTGTAAAAAAAATATATATATATATTTGATCGGTGTCAAATGAAATACCGCCTGCTGTAAGACGAGGTCATATCGTTTATATATATTAACTAGCTGTTCCTTAAGGTCAGTTCTGAATAACTGCTTCCTTAACAGTTCTTTAGTTGACCACACTGGGGTTGTCTCCAGGTGGGACGTGTTCCTCCGAGCGCGGCGGACGAGTGTCCATCTCCTTCACACACAACAGCATCACAGGCTGCACAATCAGGTGAATCCACACAGCTTTCGTCTCTGAGGGTCTGGTGTGTACTGTAGGTTATGGTGAGGGCTAATGGTCAAGTTGCAGGCTTTCAAAATCATAGCCGTCTGATTACCGCTATCCTTTCGGTACACATGTGTGTGACCTTCCACAGGCTGCACAATCAGGTGAATCCACACAGCTTTGCATCTCTGAGGGTCTGGTGTGTACTGTAGGTTATGGTGAGGGCTAATGGTCGAGTTGCAGGCTTTCAAATTCATAGCCGTTACTGCTATCCTTTTGGTCCGTGTGTGTGACCTTTTGCTTCATTACAAAATCCTGTTGAGAACCTTGATAACATGTATATTTTTTCATCTGTACAAACCACTGTATGAGTTGCTGCCACCTAGTGACTGGAGGCTTGTTATCATTCAGCATTACAGCAGTAACTGCGCCCGCCCCACTATTTGAGAAGTGCTGGTTTAAGGCAAAGGGCTATGACTATCAGAATCAATCTTGAAAAACAAAGGCCTAAGCTTGCTTTTTAGTATTTAGTATTTAAATCGGACCTTCGATCTCATTGTCTCCGTGTGTCTCCGTCTAGTTACCCATCGAGCAACTGTTCAGAGCTGAGGTCCCAGGTTTATGGAATCCTGCAGGGACCTGGTGTCCCTGAGGAAATCAGCATGAACTTTGGCTCTCAGCCATACTGGACCAGGGTCATCGTCCAGGAGTGTCCTGTGAGCCCGCAGGTACGGCTGAAGTCCAATATATTCAAAGCAGCTCGTTCTTTAGGATTCTGTTCGAACGTGAATCATTTTAAGCTATCGTTGGTTCATTCGATAAATTATATTTTTTTTCACATATCACTAAATAAACCGCTTGTAACGTGACATTGGGTTTTTACATTTTTTTAGTGACATCACCATTCCACATTTCCCCCCATTACCAGATGAGGAAGAGACTTCAATTTAAAAATTAAAAAAAATAAAACTTCATTGAGAAAACAATTTCAATTCATAGCCAGGCATTTTGACCAACTGACCTAAGATACAGTATGAAATTAAGTAATACATTAATTTTTTTTCTTTTTTTTTGCCCAGGAAACATGGGATTTTGGCTGCATACTCCCCAAATCCCTCTCCATCCAAGTGCTTTGGGCTCGCCAGGGTCTAGTTGACCTTCCTCAGAACTACATCCTTGGAGCCAAATACATTTTCAAGTGTGAAACTTTTAAGGTAAAAAAAAAAAAATCACCCAATATGCCTGTTACAAATCTTAAATATAAACACGTTCTTACTCTTCCCTCTTCTCGCCTATAGAGTGCGCTATCGTCCCGTCTCATTCTCACCACCCATGTAACATTCACGGACACTACAGTTTACCCCATCTCCCCCAGAGGTTCACCTAAACCCGACTGGAAGTTTCCTTTCAGTTTCTTTTTGAGAGGCATGGATGAGCTGGACGGACACACCGTTTCCAGCGGCACGGAGAAGTTCGCTGGATCTTTAATGCTGCTCACAGTCATGTTGTTAACAGGCTGGGAGATCATGACAAGGTAGCTGGACACGGGATACAAATAAAACCTTTAAGACTTTTATTTAAAGATAAGAGAAGAAAAAGAAAAATCACATTTTAAATACAATACAGCCCCCTGGTAGTTTTTGTATATTTATATATGTGTGTGTCTTTGAATGAATTCCTTTATACAAGACATTGTACAAATCCGCAGTTCACTGAGTTAAAGGCGCATTTCTCACAACCTCCTCTTCTCCCTGATCTTTCGGTCCCAGCTTGTTTCTGCGGCCTCCCTCTTTTTGTCCCCTGTGGGGGGCGTAGGTCAGCAGGGTGACAACAACCGCGGCAGGAGTCATGCCTTGTAAACGCAGAGCAGAACCCAGCTGAAAAACAAATAGGCCGAGAGTCCCATGAGGCATTTGTACGGTGAAGAACATAAATGAACGAGCCAGAAATACCAGAAGTTGCTGAGAAATAATGTCCGGACTCACAGTGCTGGGTCGAACTCTGTCCAAAATCTCTCTGACCTCCTGAGACAGAGACACGGGTAGAGAGAGATAGTCCATGTCCGGTGGAAGAGATGTGTTCTCCTCTTCCTGAATTCTCTCAATCTCTCTCTTCTGCAAGTCACAGTGGGGTTTGTACACAGCTGTGGGATAAAGACGAGACAGGGGTTCGTTTACAATGGCAAAGTGGCTGGAAAAAAAAAACAAACAAAAAAAAAAACTATGAGGATTAATGTTAGCAACTTGGATGAGGATAAAAAATATATATATATCCAAAATTATGAGGTCATATTTATGAGAATAAAGTAACGTTACAACAAAATAGATAAAGATATCCGAAATATTCAAAATAGATAGTTAGATAGATAGATAGATAGATACGTAGATAGATAGAACTTTATATATTATATAACTATAAAAACTCTTAAGAGTTCCCTTTGGGAAATTTAGGAATATTTTATATATCAAATTTTATTTAAAAATATATTAATTTTTTTTAAAAGGAATTTTATATATTTTTTAATCCTCGATGTGACCCTAATTTTCTGTCGAAAAACAAACAAACCAACCATAGAAAAAATAAAGAATCGATGGACGGTGAAGTATATAACCGTCGTGGAATAGCTTACGGAATATCAGACTGAATTGTGGTTTGCTGGATTCTTTGGGTTACTTAAGAAAACTTAAACCAGGCAAGGTTCAGCTCTTACCCTCTATCTTGAGTCTCTGGGAGAATTCTGTGTAAGGTGAAAGGCACTCTGGGAAGATGGACGCTAAGTTCTCAAATGACATGTCGTTGTACTGCAGAATGTCCAGCCCGCTAAAAACAGAGACAAGAAGCCAAAGATGGATTCAACATGGTGGCCTGTGGGGGGAAAACAAAAACATAGTGTCCTGTATGCGACTCACCTGCACACAGTGTTCTTGTTCTCACTTATCTTGGTGTCGGGCAGCTTTTGTCTCCACTTATAGGTGGACAGACTGATGTCTCCTAGAGCTGCCAGAGCGTCCTGCAGAGCGTCCCTGACTCTCATGGCCTCATGGTAACGTACGCATGACACACAACCGAACTCCTTGAAGCCTGACACAGGAAAACACTCACGATAGAGGAGCTAAAGTACATACAGTACACAGTCCAAGCCCGGCATAAAGACTCTGCGGTCATGTTGTCATATACAAGACTGTTGATTTATCTGCATTATTCATAATTAATTATATTTAATTTAGGTGAAAAACACTTTGACCATTACCTTTTTTTTTTAAAAAAACTACAGTACAACATGCCCAGAAAGAATGCCGGCCTTTTTACTTCACTTTCATTAAAGAACTCAATATTGTACCTACCTTTAAGGGAAAGACGGAGGTCAGCGTTGTCCGGCCTCAGGGACGTCCTGAACTCGGCTCGGCTGGTAAACATGCGGTACGGTTCGGTCACACCTCGACTCACCAGATCGTCAATGAGAACGCCGATGTAACTCTCTGTGCGAGACAAGGCCACGGGAGGTAAGGAGAGCGCCCAGCGGGCGGCGTTCACCCCGGCCCACAGACCCTGCAGACAGACACAAATTATATAACGGTGCGGGAAACCAGGGAGTCTACGGACTGTCCGCCTGAGCGCGATTTTGTGTTTGCACAAAATGAACAAGTGCAGCAAGACACCTGTGCAGCGGCCTCCTCGTAGCCTGTGGTTCCATTTATTTGGCCGGCCAGAAAAAGACCTTGAGTGCTCTTTACATGCAGGGCGGGGCTCAGCTGAGTAGGACACACGAAGTCGTACTGCACCCCATAACCTGGAAAATACGAAGAACGCACACTTTTTAGCCGTTGGGTGTGTAAACTACTGCTGTTCATAGTGGTTCGAATCGATTTGCTTATTCATAGATGACACAATTTCGTGGCTGATTGATGGACGTGTCTCAATCTGTGCTACGCTGTATGTTAATACATCTGTTTATGAGATCAAACATGTGTTTTGACCGAGTCTTGGCATTTCGATTTGATCAATGTCTTTGCGGTTAATGTCCAATGTCTAAAACATTGCTTTCTTATACCTTTTTAAACAGATTTGTATCAATCAGCAGTATTGTAAACCAAATAGCATACATACATGCATAATACAATTGTCGGATCTGAAGTAAGCACTGTCCAATAGAGGTCAGACCACTGAGGACACCTAAGAACAATTTTTCTGAAATTTGACAGCGGGGCCGGGTCAGGAGCAGATAGATGGAGCGTTGGTGTGAACTAAGATAAATGACAATGTAATAGTCATGCCTAAAGGCTAAAAATGCTAAAACGCTTTTATCATTTTCTACGCCATCTATTGGGGAAACGGGGGTATTGCAGGGAAAAAGCAGAAGTATAATGATAAAATAAATAAATAAATAATATAATTAGGAAAGGTTTTAATGATAATATAAATAAATGATATAATTAGGAAAGGTTTGACAGGCCGGATTACAAAGCTGAACGGGCCACATCTAGCCCCCGGGCCCCTAGTTTGACCATGCCTGATCTAGGACATAGTCTGACTTGACACCTGGAAGCCATAATGAAGGGCAAGAAATACATAAATGCAGGAAAGTGGATGTAGGACAATCCAATGTCTCCTGTTATATAGCACCATGTGACGTTGTGTTCGTCGGCTCCACTCACCAACTAGTTCACATGGAATTTGTTTTAACGCCGTACATCACAATGATGGAACAAGATTTTCTTAATACATTTATGGGATGATGACGTCGAGGTCACTGTACCTCCTGTCCCCTTCTTTAAATTCTATTTTCCAGTCTATATTCCCATCAATATATTTTGGTTAGTGTACCAGGGGTGCGGATCTCAGCTCTGTGCAAAGCCGGGATTTCTCTTATGAGGCGGAGCTGCACGTCGGGAGGCATGGTCATGGAAAGACCCTGCGGGTACATCAGGTCAGAGTCCAAGCCTTCAGGCTCCAGCCAAACCCGATGAGTCCTGCCTTGAAAGCGAATCACTCGGGACTCAATGGACGGGCAGTATCTGGGGGACAGGACGTTGGTCCGTTTAAGGTTTAATGGCACAAAACCAAAAGCCTGGACAATTATCAGAGTGTGC